CCTCGCAGATGATTACTTGATTTGCCTTCACAGCTTGAGGAATTGACTTTACTAACTTCAGCCCATTTGACATCACTTAAACGTCAAGGTTTACTGTGAGGCCTAGAGTCTTTTTGGCGGAACTTTGTAACTTCAGTCCCATCTCACACATATATAAAGGTATTTTGCTTCTTTTTAGATCATAAACCCCTCCCACCAGCAGCCACGAGAATATAAATTGTGGGTTTCTACATTAACAGTAATACCACCAGAGACTGACGTCACGCAGATACGATTCCATTAACGTTCTTTCTTTCGTTATCTCCCCATTACACACACAAAGAAATCAATTTTTTTGTGTCGGAACTACTTCTAGCTAGAGAAACAGCATGTATGTACAACTGTCCCATCCTGCAATACCGGTTTCAAATGTATTTTCATCTTCTATTCATCTTTGCTGTGCTGACGAGTGTCCAAATACTGAAGTGTGGACATTTGAAATCCCACCTTTCACAACACTGACTTTTCTTACTGAATTGACCGCACACCCTAGTCTTGTAGAAAACCTGGACTTCCCTTGGATGGCACTGGGGCAGAATTGGCTACATGTAGTAAAAAGAAAGCAGTAATTTAAAGAATTTAATAAAACAGGTGCTCAGAGGTAGAAGGGCCGCAGATACATTCTAGATTGGAATCAGAACAATGAGCAACTTGTGATTTTTGAATCAAAAACCTGCCTAGGAAAGCCTATCCTACTTTGTGCCCCTAACACTCACAGGCTGGCACCGTGAGTATTTGTCATCTCCATCATTCAGGAAGCATTTGCCATAATACTTGTGGCATGAATATTTATCAGTACAGTGGGACTATTAAAATTTCTGAGTCAGAAATAAATTGATCAAGATTATAGAGTGAGTCAGCGCAGAGCCAGAAATAGCATTCACAAGTCCTGACTTTCAGGCCTGCGCTGCAACCACTACCCAGGTTCCTTAAGGCAGCTGAATGATGTCATTAATGTTTGTAAAGTCATTTGAATCCTTGGATGGAAAATGCTATGACAATAGCGAGGTTGGAGGGACAGAAAACCACGTTAATAGAAGAGAAACAATGGCCGTAAAGTCCTGGGAAAGGCCTTTTGTACTGAAGTACAATAAAAAGGGGTTTCTTCTAGAAAGTTATAGAAAGATTGAAATCAAACAAGCCACCAATTTATCTCAATGAGCCGAACCAAGCTAATCCCAACCGGTTTATTCTCATGGTTCCGAGGTGTTCTCAAGGTTTGAAGCAATTTAAGGATGATCTGAAGTATTAAACACGCTGCAATTACTTTTATTTTCTTCACTTAACGCTTCTATGCCCCAAATCTGGAAAAAAAAAAAAATAGTAAAACCAAAAGCTAACCTGTGGCTAAGATGGATGCCAGCCCAGCAAAGGTGGCAAAGGCAAGGCAGGCTTCTCCCTGCACACCTCGGCTGGTTTCCTTATGCTGGAGGTAGCGATGATGCATACTGGAAATGGTTTTTTTTTAATTTGATATTTAGCAAGAACTGATCAAATGGTTGACTTCGAGGAATAGTCACAAAGTCCAACTGTGATCCCTTGCACTTCTGCAGCACCCACCTCTCTCTAGTGACATTTTGCCTCCTAGTGGAGAGCACCGACAGAAAAACCCGCGAGTGCTGCTTCCTTGTAGAAGAGAAACAGCAGCAAGAGGCTGAGATGATTAAATTCAAGGGCAGATTGTGCAGAGGAACGGAACTGATGCTGTTTCTTAGCCTCTCCGCTGTATCACAGTAGAAGGAAATGCTTACTGGTTTTATTCCAGCCACCGCTTTCGCTTTCTTCCACCGCTAATTTTTACAAGCCCGAGCTTTTCTGCACCAGGTAAAATAAGAAGCAAACAGAGGAATCGCTCAGGACCCCAACAGCCATTACACAGCAACCTCACTTCCAGCACGCCTCTCCCCACACCGGTCCTTTGATTTGCAGCAGCCGTTTACACGGGAAAGGGCAAAAGGGAACACCTCCCTTTGTACAACCACAGTCAGAAGCGTACGTTGTGAGTGGGGACACTGGACACCTTCTCTACAGCCCGAGAGGAAGAGCTGGAGGCCAGTGTGCTGGAAATTACTTCCTAGCTATGTCATGCCTAAGAACACCCAATTCCAATCAAAAAAAAAAAAAAAGTAAAAATATTAGTATTCCATCATCCAGCAACCCCTCTCGTGAGAGGGAAAAGTACAGGTTTGTGTTTATCAGCACTGAGCTTTTTCCAATCAGGCTGAGAATAAAAGAATATTTATTTAAATAACAAATGCTGGAGCAGAAGTTACCATCCTGCCTCAACACACCAGTAAGGGCAAGCAGGGTGTTGCTGCAGAGTCAACATCTTCAAGGCAGCAGCCACGTCTCAGCAGGCAAACGGCGAAGGGACTTCAGCCGCAGCCCTTGCCTACACCTCAGCACCGTGCCAGTCGGATAACCAATGCACGCTGAACTTTTAATTGTTGGCAGTAGTATCGCTGCGGTTTAGAGCACGGCTGTAATTTTGCAGATGCTAACCCCTTAAGCGGTAGTTGCTGGCTTCACCATGAGACACTAGGGAACAGAATTCATTTCTGTATTTAGTCCGGCATTCAAGGACTGAGAACTGAGAATTTACACTGGTTTCACTGGGCAGGGCTGCCCCAGCAGCCGCCCCGGCAGGCTGGCTAGGAAAAGGCCCCAAAAATCACAACGCAGAAGCTAGCAGAGCAGTAGGGGAAGAGCTCAGCAACTGCAAGAATACCTGTAAATAGAGAGGAGGAGAGGGACGGGAAAGAGGATAAAAAGCAACCTGACAAGATGTATTCTATGCATACTTTTATTAATAAAATATAAGATTTACAGCATATGTCAATGGACAGTGTGCTTAGAGAATCATCTAGTTGGACAGTGTGACACCAGAGCCGGTAGCTGGTTTTGGCGAGGCGAAATTAAACCTCAGATGACACGCCAGGGACCACCGCTACTGACAAAACCTTTCCCAAGGCTGGCTTTAACCCCCCCCCGAAGCCGTCCCCACACGCACAGCTGAGGTCCGAGAGGCAGTTTCGCTTGAAGGCAGTATTGCTAGGAGGCTGCACTTCGTTCTGTGTGAAATCTACCTGCTGGGTTTTGTGCCGTCTTCACATCCTCGCTTCCTTTTGTGTCTGCACTAAGCAACTGGTTCAGGTGTTCAGTGCATGGCTCGGGATACACAGACGCGCACGCGAGCGGCGGGCTTGGCACCAGGACCCTCCACCTTCCCCCAAGAGCAGTCATTAAACCGTTCTTCGCAAAATGGAGATGAACTGTACCAGCTCTGATGCAAAGGAAGCTGCTAATTACCTCTTTGCCCTTGCGATAAGGTAAAGAATAAACCTTGGCCCTGATCCTGTGAACACCCAGACACATGATGAACGTTACTCAACAAGTCGCTTCCTTAACGATTAGCACGTATAGTCATTTGAGTAAAATGAGTCACATGCTATGCAAGTAGGAGTAGGGCCGACCAGTTTATTCACCCATTGGAAAACAGTTGCTGTCCCTGGGGCAATTAAATTTTTTACAAGGCTAACAGGTGGGGGGAAAAAAAAAAAAAGTAAAATCCTTACAAAGGCTCATGGTCAGGCATGCATGTTACAAGACAAATACTGTATTTAAGAGAACCAGATCTAATAATTACAATTTTTACATTTTCAAACCACTGCACAAGGACTTAAAGAAATCAAAGTATGGTTGCAATAGTCTTGTTAACGACCTCTAACCCAGCCATAATTTTACAGCAGAAACAGTATCTCAGTTGATCAAATAATAGGTAATTATAATGCCTCTCTAACTAAGCCACAGAAATAATTTAAATGTAGGTAACTGAAAATTCTCCCCGCCAAGGTAAGGTCACTACAACTTTAAACTTCATTCTGAACGTTTCCGTGAAGGAAGAGTAAACCTAAAAAGCACAATTAGCAAAAATATCTGGAGGTAAAAACTCATGAGCCTTATAAAGCATCAATATCTAGTTCATCTTTGGGTAAGCCTTATTTGCTGAAGAGTTTAAATCTCTCCAATAACTAGGAACACTTATTTCATGCAGCTTCTGTACTCCACGCATTTTCTGATCCTTGCGCCGTTTAAGGTTTCTGTGAGTGCAAGAACTTTGCAAAGCCAAAAGCCAGAAGAAATACTTGCATGGTAAAACTACATTTCCACTCAGTTACCGACAGCAATAAAATACAGAAAATAGAGCATCTCCGAATGCAGTGCAGTAATTACCTAGGTCATCACATGGTATTTTGTACTACGTAACATCATACTGCCAGGCAAGAATTCAAACAACTTTGTAAAAAGCCACAGGGGACTTGGTACTCTTCTGAAGAGGGCGTTAAAGGCATTGTATCCTAAAACAAGGCGTTAGAGAAACCAGGATGAAGCCAAACGTTAAGACATTAGTCCCATAAAATGGATTTTAAAACCTGGAAATTCTATTTCTGTTCCAATTTTAGCAACAGTTTAAAAAAAAAAAAAAAAAAAAAGAGCCTTGGAGAATACAGGAACAGTAACTGACCTGTTCGGATTACGGCAAAGTGCGACAGCAGTTTATGGTTTTGGAGTGGAAGTGGCCAACGCACACTGCGGCTGGTATTCTGGTCATTCATGAATGAATGCAGATAGTTGTGAAATCCCTCCCTCTCTTCATTCCCATGAAAAATAATTAATACTGGTTAAAATCATTACAAAAAACATCATTTTATTTTCATGCATCTAAGGTAAAACACAGAGTATTTGTATAAAGAGGTAGATTAAAAAAAAGAAAACAGATTCTCCATTCTTTGTCACTTTTATTCAGTAGTTTGTTTGTTTTTTTTTTTTTTTCCTTATTTTCTCTTTTTTGGTGCCAGACATGGCAAGGAGTGATTACAGTCAGCTGTTTATTAAAACATTTGTTGCAACACAGACCCCCTTTACCACTGACCCCAAACGGACCCATTTCATGTGCTTTATTTTGTTGTTTTTTTTTTTTTCTATACACCACCACCAAGGCTAGGTGGAGGGGGACGAAGGGGAAAGGGGGAGTCCAGGAGGCCAGAAGGAGGAGGAATGCTACAAGCCACAGCAAGAATGAGCTGTATTTAATAAAAAAAGGGGGCCACGAATGATACAGTAATGAGGTTACACAATTAAATCCCATAGCATGATTGAAGGCTTTCCCTGTGTTTGACGTCATCACAATGGAAGGCATAAAAAGTGGAGTAAACCGATGTTGATACAGTCCAATCTAGTCCATTAGGCAAGATGGTGCAAGTAGTCATTTAAATTAAAAAGTGCCCTATCCTCACCTAAATGGCTAGCAGACATGGAGAAGAACGCAGTGACGGATCAACAGAGCTTTCTCCATGTAGCTATAGAAGTGTGTTGTCATATGGCACATTTTTAAACACTGGAAAGGGGTGCCACAATGGACCTCTCGCTCTCTTTCGTTTACAGGTACAAATGCTAGATTCAACTATTTCAACTATGCAGGAAGTGGACTCTTCAGTTAGGAATGCCAACCCTAATTCATTTTGTCTTGAAATATATACAAGTTGTTTGTAGTAGCTACAGCAATGATGTTTTCCTTAGGATGCCAGGCTGTGTGTAGAATCTTCTTGTTGAAGTCTAGGCTGTCAACACTGATTTCATCCTTCTTTCGCTTACCACTTGCGCATACTTTACGGGGCTTCAAAACCGTGCGGGGTTTATTGTTTTCCCGGGATGCCTCTAAGGTGATGTCTCGCTTTGTGTTTCTGTCAAACATTCTGAAGAAGTTGTTGTAAGATCCCGTCATGACGATGCTGCAGAGAGAAAGAGAGAAGGAAGAAAGTAGCGGCTCAGTCGAAAATAACCTCTCCTCTTACGAAACCTCAGGGTCTCAGCTACGACCCTGCCTTATTATCCAAGCAGAAAGCAGGCACCCTTGCCCATACCTTCTACAATCTGACGTGAAACCAAGGCATTTGAATGTTTTACAGATTTTTATTTTTTTTTTTTAAAAGTCTCTTTTTCCTTAACTGGCCCTTTTGAAGGTACAGGCTTTGTTATCTGAGCGCTTCAATTTGAGTGTCATCATTCAATCTGCTTCTCATGCACACGTGGGGAAGCGGTCTAAGGAAGCCCAAATACTGACTGTTAGCCATGCAATTTCAGTTTCGCCCAAGCTGCAGGACTATAGGTACTAACATACCGAGTTTGTGATGATACCTTACACAAGATCCTTATTCTGTATCAGCTTTTCAGCGGAAGTTTCCCTGTCCTTCCTTTGCCTCAAAAAATTACTTGAGCAGACAGATGTCAAGTTAAAAAAAAAAAAAAAAAGCTACCTCTGACAATATCGACGGGGATACAATGAGCTGGCTTGAGTCTAGCAAGTAAGAGGTTCGTGACATGATCAACACAAAAGCAACAGCTGTCTCAAGTGGTATTACTGGCTAGCGAACCGTGCCCCGGCAAGGCAAACTTGACAACTCCTTTCAAGAAAAGAAAATTCCTAGAAGGTTTTTCCCAAGCGTTCTACCTGTTGACAAAGCAGCTTGAACAGAACACACACACACAGGGTCCCCAACAGCGCTGGGGCAGCTTCTTGCAGTTAGAGCATCAGTCAGACAACGGGGTTTGAGTGCATAGGCCTTATTCCCATACAGTTTATTCCAAAGTCAGATCATAACAGAATACACAGGAAAACAAAACACGAAACAGCCACCCTCCCAAAGAGAAACCCTAGGGATAATAAACCAGGTGGATTAGGGTGTTGGTAGCATTTCACCAGTTAAAGTCTGCAGACAACCATCTCTTACCGCTTTGCCCATCGCTCCAGTTTAAGCAGCTGGAACATTTGATTAGTATTTCATTCCAGCAAAGTACTAAACTCAATTTCTAGTCAAATTCTACATCTCTCTAGTGCACCAAGGCAATTCTCTATAATCCTATGCTACAACATGAAGGGATAAGAGCTAATATACATACGCTAAAGTCTGCTGAAGTACTAAAATATGATCCAAGCCAGTCCATGAACAAAATCAGACAGGTATTTGAGGCCATGCTTCAAGCTGCCCGTTTGAAGAATGACTTGGAAAGGTCTTAAGTGTATATAGAGAAGAATTAAACTTGCCTGTCTGATCCATTCCAACAGCATTCAAATTTGTCAAAAATGCAATCGTTCTCATAGAGTGAACAAAGTTTACTTCTGAGGTATTCATGCACCTGGAAAAAAAAAAGTTAGATAAACTGAACGAATACTGAACTTGCATACCTGTAAAAGAATTGTCCTAAGTTCTGTTCCAAAGTAACTATGCACCTGACAGTGCTTCCACCCTACTCCCAGGAGCACGCACAGCTCCCTGCTCCAGACTGTATGGATGAAAAGCAAAAGGAACAGAGGCATGAATTAACATGCTCTGCCCTCCAGAGATTTCAAATCAACTCAAATAGCAGCAAGTCACTCGGAGTGGGGAAAGAGACAGCTCCCAAAACTCGGCAATTCTGCAGAACGCTTTCCCTCTCTGAGCAGCTGCCATACCCTCACGACCCTTTTGGTTATCTGAAAGGATTTATCAGACTTTGCTTCTTTCTAAAAATCATGCTTTGGCGACTGATCTTCTTCCAGTGATGAAGAGGATCCCTTCACAATTTTTTTTGTTTTTAAGACAACACCACAGCGATTTTTCAGTGCCAGCCAAAAACATTTTCTGCAAAGGAGATGTTTTACCTCCTGTTTTCTTCAGGAAAGAAGAGGAGAATATAAAGCCAACTGGTGACTCTAAGAGAGATGTGCCATCTCATGGCTGAAGATGACCTTTCCACATTTCCATGGTGTCTAAGAGGGAGGCTTTTTTGTACCCAAACATCCCTTTGGGTTCTGCAATCAAGCCTGCAAATAGCAAGATCCTCTAGCACGTGTGTGGAACCCACAGATCTCGCTGATGCTTTGCCTGGACACAGGGGTCCATAGACAAAAATTTAACTGCCACATCAAGACTATTAGCAAGACTCAGCATGCTTCAAGGTTTTCATTTCTAGCCTACATCATCTTCGCCAAATACCTGGTATGTTTCCACAGGTCTATTTTCCATATTTAAATCCCAGATCTTCACTGACAGGTAATCTCTAGTCATCATATATCGACCACTATGGCTAAATTTGACATCAGATATGGAAGAGATGATTTCAGAGAAAAATGATCTGTTGCTAGGATCTTCTGGTTCTTCAAACACTGTATAAAAAATAAGATAGGCACTTCAGGAGGTAAGTTTGTCTCATCCAATACAAGAAACACCAAAATTAAGTTAACGTTTTCTCAGTAGGCTTGCCACGTTGGGCTAGTCTGGCTGCATTACATACAGTAACTTTCAACGAGAGCACCTTACGATACAATTGCCGTACGCGGAAATATTTTATTTTTGTAGCAAGTCAAGGTCAGCTTCTAAGTAAGTGAACTACTCACCATTATTTGGAGTCTTCATTCACACATGGAAGATAGCAAGCATCAGTTACAGACCAAGCTCAACTAGTAGTTGACCTCCTGAAGTCTGCAGAAAGCCATTCCTAGTCCTATTGTCTAGGATCAGCTTAAGCAGCTAATAATTTTGCTCACTACTTTTACTCTGGCAAAATATCCATCTAATTTTTAAATTTATTTAGATTTTAGATCGATTCAATATACTATAGAAAACCAATATGAATAAATACACACACATCAGTGTTTCACCTAACAGCAAGGTATCACACTCCACAAAGAGACAACAAACAACGCGGGGCAGAACTTACGTTTCGAGTGTCTGTCACAGAGTGCCGATGCTCTCATATCACAGAGACGAATGGTTCCTTTACTGCTGCTGTATACAAACGTATTACAGCTGTTTGGGTGGAACTCTGCAGCTGTGATCACCTCTGTGAGCTCTTCCATGTTGGCAGGCTTAATATCTACAATATCTACAGCATTTTGTTAAGAAATTTTCTCCAGTTTTCGTAACATACGTTTCAGCTTTAAAAAGTATTCAGCAACGCTTCTTCAGTTCACAAAAGGGTATCTGAAATAGCCAAGCAGAATTAAAACAAGCCAATAAAAGCAAAATAATGCTTGGAATTTAGAAGCGGGACAAGGCTTCCACGCTAAAGACTGTGGGACCCAGTCACCAACTGGATAAAAGTTAAAATCAAGTCCCACAAGTTGCCTACAAAGCAAGACTGCAACACCACATTCTCTATCAGTTTGAAGTTCATTCTTACAACAGCAAAAGCCAGCTTAATTTCTTTTTTGCTCCACTTCAGCAGTACTTAAGTCTATACTACATGTACGTCACCTGAGTTTTTTCACACAGAACTTTATTTTGCTTAAATTCTGATTACACTACTACATTATAAAGAAGGCATGTGTGATTTCTGCTCGGGATCCTGCTGATTTATCCACAAATCTCTGCTCCAGCAATGGGACCAAATACCTTCTCCTGTGATCCTACTGCCTGCAACATTTGTAGGTGCACATGCGAGAGGGGCTGACGGGTAGGTTAGAAGGTAAAAAAGAATAAGCGTTGTTGAGGTGGCACTCCCCTGACTTGCCTCCTACTGCAAGTCAAGAACATTTTCGCAAGATAGTTTCCTGTAATGCTGCCTTCCAGAACTGCACATTTAACTTGAAGCCTTAAGCTTTTTTCTCCTTTAAAAGAGTCTGTTTTTCACCATGCAAATGAATAGTTCTCCTTACATAGCTCACAACGAGCTACCTCTCCAGAAGTAAAGGTCCTTACAACTGCTAGGGAGAAATAACCCAGAAGCATGCTATATAAAAAGCTTTTCATGAAAGGAAATAAAATCCAGCAGTTTTGTTGTAGCCAAGCTGTTCCCATCATAGAAAACAACACAAAAAAAAGATACTAAAACTTCTGTCTGTAATTTCTAGGTGCCACAGGTTAATCCGCAAGTCATCTGCAGATAAGTACGTTTCATAATCGCTATTAATGGAGATGGAATTGATGTGATACGTGTGAGCATTGGCAAATATTCTTCGTGGACTAGCTTCAACCATGAGGTCCATGGGCCTGAATACTGGCACCTGCAAAATACAAAGCAATGGAAGTTTGAGATGCAAGCGTACTACAAACACACTGGCACTCATCATCACGGTCCTTCAATACACCAAGCCAATTAATGTAACTCAAGACCACCTCAGAATAAACGTGTCTGCCAACTGGCATCACAAAAAATGTCAAGTTCATGATGGGGCAGTTACTCACTGAGCCACGGGGTAATCTGTGTGCTGTTTTTTGGGAGAGGAGAAATCTCTTGAACGTGGCTAATTCACAGCGAGTGAACTACTCACCCGTAGTGTTGTAACTGTAGTAGGATCCCTATACCGTCCATCTTCTTCCTTTAAATTATAACCCTCTGGTCTTTTGTCCCTTTCACTGATTTTCCATAACTTTATTGTTTTATCTGAAATGAAACAGCCACAGTTTCAAACTAGAGCTCTAGCAAAAGGTACCAGTCTTCACAGTTGATGCACTTTAACACGAAGCCTTCAAAGTTTCAAACTAGAGCTCTAGCAAAAGGTACCAGTTGATGCACTTTAACACGAAGCCTTCAAGCAAGACAAGAGCACCTACACGTACCAAAAAAGACAAAAATACCTCTTGGAGAAAACAAGACAAAAAGCATTAAAAAGACCTCCTCCGCAGTTTGTTCTTTTTAGAAAAGTGACAGCAAGTTTCAGTTAGCATCAGGATTGTTACGAATGACTAATGTAAGCTCTGGCACAGCTATTCGCATACGAAGGTGCTGAACGACAGCTTGGCCAAGCCCCTCTGCTCCAGAGCAACCACAGCAGCAATGACCAACGCTCCACCCCATGCCGCGGGGCCTCGGTATCCAGTTACGCCACAGCAGCGGTGTAGTTAACCAGGTAACCCTTGGGTAGCCACATCCCTAGATACTTGCATTGAAACCCAACTTGCTTCCAGCCTTTTGAAAGTGGAAAGGATTAGACAAAATCCCAGTAGCGTAGGTTACCGTGCAAAATTGACTGTTAAGTCGGAACTTACCATTTGTAGACAATAAAAACTGAGCAGCATTTTTCTGGGGTAACCACCTAATTTTGTTGATCTTCTCTTCAATTTCTAAACTTTTCAAGTAGTCAAACTCTGGTTCATGGCTTTGAAAGGTACTGTAAACATTGTATTCTCCCCTACTGTGAGACTGGGTTTTGTTCTAGAAAGAGAACGAAATGATCAAGATATGTAGGCAACGAACAGAATGCTTTTCAAGGCTGCAGGCAGAAGCCAGAACGAGATATTTATATTTATGCAACAAGATATACAGGCAGACTGCTAATTAGCATAAAAACAGGTTAGGACTTCTTCACTCTGTTGTTGCCTATGCCAGATTTGCCACGAGTATCCTTTGGTGTACCACTTGCCTTATTTCAACAAGCCATGAAATGAGGATCATCTCTTCTGCAAGAACTTGATTAGAGTTTCTACTATTTTGGCTAAGAAAGCATTAGAGAAGAAACTGGTATCGCAGCAGCTTTTGATTCCTAGTTTCCAGAAACTCCCCTCAGCCATGTGAATAATATCTCCAGCACGTTCTCATATTAATTCTGAGCAGCTGAATTTGCAAACTAAGATTTTGCCTGAACATTCTAGGCATGATTTTTTTTTTTCTCTTTAAAAAAAAAATTCAAAAATCTTCATCATTCTCTCATCCTCAATTTTTCCACCCTGTTTTTTAAGGAAAGTATTCCCCAAGAGAAATACACATGGCAAATCTACCCTGTGGGTAAGTCCAGCTTGCTAGCACACTACAGAGATCCCACACGTCACCTCTACATTTATACAAGCATCTCTGCTATTCTGGTTTATAATCCCCACATTCCTCGAGACCTTCTAAACGGCTGATGAAGCTTTTTCTTCCTCATGCTGGAGATGAGGGGAAAAAAGCTTAACACCTCTGCTGAATCCATCTTTGACATTAAGTCACACCCGCAGTTAGCTTGTTCAGGATGGAGCCGTTTGGAAAACCAAAAAACCTCCAAACTTCCATCATTCCTCTTTCTAAAAGCTACGTTTTAGGCAGCGGCTTCCTAGCACTGATATTGCACCGCATGGACTGAACCTTACCTTACCCATTGGAGGGAATTTTAACAGAAAACTGGAACCATTTCTAAAATAATGCTCGCTAGGTGTACCTGAAATTAATTCAAGCTTAATTTTGTGATTCCTGTTCCACCCATTTCAAGAGGCTGCACCTCTCCTGTGGTATGTTCTTGTCTAGGGGACTTCGCTCCTTCCTTCTCTTGCGCATCTCGTGTCCATCCATTCGTGTCATCCCTTAACACCTCACTAAAACATACTTCTTGACATGATCCTTGCTAGCCCACGTATGTCACATTCCTTGCATCATTTTCTCTTGCTTCATACCCTACAGTAAGAGCTGGCAGGGATTCTTACATTTAACAATAAGCTGGGGGGGGGCAGGGAGGAGGGAAAAGTGGATAAACGCTTACAAATAAAGTTTGGCACTGGAATATTGCACCACACCTATCAATTACACCGGCTTTCCCACCCTAGAGAACGGAAGGAACTTTGTTCTAAGTTTCAGTTAGCCCTAAGAAGTTAAGCAGGGTCACGGCCTAGAACAGGCAACTTCTGAAGTAAATCTATTGTGCTTTAGGAAATACTGGTCAGGATTCAGGGAACTTTCCCTCAATTCCATACTCACCATAATGACTGAGTCTTAAATATACTTCTTGTGTATTCTAATACAACTCTACAGGACTAGAATAGTATGTAAAATCAGTAATATATGATATCCGTCCTTAGGATAAAAGCAAAATTTAAAGCAGGTAGTCTTGTGGCAAAAAAAAAAAAAATAGAGAAAAAAAAATCAAAACAAAAGGTGTTGGCCCAAGTGCCTTACGTTAAATTCCAATTTAGGTGATTACAGGCTGCCTACGCAAATTCCTCCTTCAGTTTCAATTAGATACAGTATTCATTTCCTGCCCCAAACTTATGTAACGTCACCCGCTTCGCACTGCGAAGGGCTGCCACATTCCAACCCAGAGGCGGCAGCACTCTGGCAGTGGGTGAAGTTACACAAGCTTGTGTAACTCTATACAGAGCGCTCGTGTTAAGTGTTTCTCTTCCTCTATGTACGGTCTGTAAAGCACTCTGAAACGCAGCGTGATGGGCGGTGGTACACAAATCCAACCCAAATCCTTTGACAATTCTCTTCTAGATACTCTTACGTATAAAGCTTGCTCTAGACAGTCGTGCATGTGGTGTATCTAGCCACTAACGCGTTAGGGGATCCAGCCCCCAGTGTTCATTCCCTGAACACCAACGAGTCAAAATTATGCCAAAACCAATTCTGTGCAACTTAATCTGATAACCCAGGTGGTTCTTACAATACCTAGAGTCACAGATCATCAGAACATGAGCCATGGGTTATGCATCAAAACCAGAAGTAGTCATTTAAAGACAACCTGAGCACAGGCAATGAGCTATTTAAGCTTTCAGCTACATTAAAGGATCCTTAGAGGATGCAAGCTACAACTCAAGAGTTTAAAGAAAGGAAAAAAAAAAAAAACACCCAGAATAAAAAACCCAAACAACCCACCACAAGAGTTTGTGCCCAAAACTACAGGCAGGTTACCGTAAGGACATAGCATGCTCATACATACTGTGTTCATCTCTGACTCTGGCCAACGAAACTTCGGAAGAGGCTAGTCAGGCAGGAATGTCCCACTAGATGGCACCAACTGACCAAAGGGATTTATTTGTAAAGGGAAGATACGGCACTTGAATTACCTGCGTACCAGCAGCAAGCAACTCGTTCTGTTGGACTGTGGAATTGTCACCATTCAGGATTTTGAGAGTTGAAATTCAACGAAACGCTAAGGAAAGGAGTACGCTCTCTACAGCTACCTGAAAGGAGGCTGTAGCAAGGTGGGCATCAGCCTCTTCTGCCAAGTAACAAGCGACAGGATGAGAGGAAACAGCCTCAAGTTGTGCCAGGGGACTTTAGATGGGACATTAGGAAAATTTTTTTCACCCAAAGGGCTGTCAGGCTCTGGAATGGGCTGCCCAGGGAAGGGTTAAGTCCCCATCCCTGGAGGGATTTAAAAGCCGGGCAGATGAGGTGCTTAGGGACAGGGTTTAGTGGTGGACTTGGCAGTGTTAGGTTAACAGTTGGACTTGATTATCTTAAATGTCTTTTCCAACCGAAACGATTCTAGAATTCTATTCTAAGTAACAGCATGACTCCTCTAGGCAGTGAGATGACAGAAGTGCCTTTTTTATCTTCTCCCTGAAATAAATTCTAACCAAGTCAACTTCTAACTATGGCCTTCATTAAAAATCAAGCACTCCATCTCAGCTTTCCCGCCTTTAACATGGAGTAGAGGCTCTTTCGGGGCATTAGAAGATTTAGCTGTAGAATTCTGCGAAGACCAAAAGAACAAGCATAAAATAAGAGATACCTTTGCTGCTCTAACCTAATGGGTACAGGGGAAGGGAGTTTCATTGTAATGATCGTTTGGGAGGCAGTGGTGGTGTTGATTTTTGTTTGTTTGCTTTTAAAATCCTTTAGTGACTTAAGTTACATTAGTTTTCATAACACGAAGCTGTCCTCCTAATTCACTTCAGCACTGCAGTTATGTTGTAATGTTCTGAGACTAATGCGAAACTTAAATCAGATTTTAAATCTCTGATTTTAGTGTTAGCGAGGGTACTCACTGCATAAAACAGCTTACAGAACTGGAAAATCTAAGCTTACATTGCCAAATGTCACACAAAAATAAAAGTAGCAGAAAATATTTAGTAATCTCTACTGATAAAAACAAATTGTTTTGGTTGTCAGGTACACTAACAAGCCTTGCTATTACTCATATGCAAATACTAATATTGATTGCTTATTTTAGCATAGATGCACCAACTTCCAGTATTAGAGTTGCCTACAGAGACCAGCACAGCGACCTGGTTTATCCTCAGAAGACCAAACGAAGAGATAATAAAGCCACAGATTTTGTATTATTTTGCTGAGAAATAGAAGTAAACCTATTGCACTGGATACCCTTTTCTTACTCGGGTTTTAGACAAATACACTGCTTGTGTAAATGGGTAACCATCTGAGAGCTAACTAAGGACACGCGTAAAGAAACAAGCTTACACTCTAAAAGAAGAGATGGAGGAGTTCTGTGCCTGATGCAGAGATGGGATGCATAAGAGAGAGCAGATCTCATGGGGGACAGACAGCTGTAATCAGTATATTTACAGCACAAAATTAAAAGTATACCCATTGAGTGCAGCGATTCAAACTTTCTTTATATTCAGGAACAGTGATGCAGACACAAACGCACTTTCAGTGGGGGAAAAACAATTTGTCAAGGCGTCGATGTTTGCAAGCTTTGCCTCCCCTCTCCGCTGCCACACTCTAAGTTACATACCAAGTAATACTGCCAACAACCACTGCTCTGTATAGCATTCAGACCAGCTAGCTGCTTTGTCTTCTAACTTCAAATGCAAGCAAAGTGACTGCAGACGAAGAAAAACCACCACTCCAGTTCAAAAGCAGCATGAGGGATGTAGCCCTATGGTCTGAAAAGAGAATTCCCTCTAGCACCGAGACTTTCCTGGGGGACATTTTAACCAGCAGAAAACCCTGGATCCGTGTACGCCATCTATGTCGACAGAACCTTCAACTATTTTACCTGATTGATACCAAAATGGAAAAGGACATCTTGGGTCACAATTATATACTCACTTAATTTCCACACACTCACAACTTTAATTTCCCCAACTACAGTGAAATCTGAAATAATCATCACAGCCAAGTACGAGTCACTGTAAAACGACCAAGTTCAGCTTCCCCAAGGTCTTTTTGCGTCCTAACCCCCCCCGTTCTGCTTTCACTCTAAACACTCTTTAGACCACAGCTAAAGCCCAGAATCTTTACATTAATTTCTAACAGTGTCACAACGTTCCCCATAACTTTTTCACTCTAAAATTTCGTTGTTTTAATCACTTCTTACACAGGCATGCACTTTATGTATAAAGTTTTTTATAAAAGTATTCTCCTTTTCTTTATAAAGAGAGTGAATGAACAGAATAAAACATTAAATATACTTTAAATAGTTAGCACTCACCTCCTGCTCCTGTTGAAAGATGACAACTCTACCTCCTTTGTCTCCTGTTGCTAACAACTCTCCAGAATGGTTAAATTCTACTGTAGAGATTATATCCGCTGCATAGGAACAAAAATAAACCCCACAAGTTAATAATACTTCTAAATACTAAGCGGCCAAGAAAGCTACGACGAGAAGCAAAAACGAAAGTGTATACTTCAATTCAGTTTAAGTATACTTATGTTCTAAAATACAAGTAGGGATTTCTTCAAAAATATAGAAGCAATTTTTTAAAGCTATGTATTTGAAAACCCGTTACTAGTTCACCATGCCAGAGCTACAAGTTCACTGTTGTGCACTAAATCGTTTTAATTTAAAAAGGTTTATATCATCGATTCTTAGAACTGTTTTTCTGTATAGTACAGAAATGGATTTTCAGTCTGTACTGTAACAGCAGAGACTGTGTATATACACATTCAGACCTTTATTTTCTCCATTCTTTCCAACAGAATTGGATACAATCATGATCCATGTGATCTCAAAGCTTTTTTTTTTTTTTTTTTTAAAGGACACTCTACACATTTGACAACTTGAGGGCAAAAACAGTAGGGTGGAGATGTTCAGACATCAGCTCTAAGGAATGCAAGCATGCGGAACAAAAACAGCTACAGAAAATGAAGAAATAAATTCAACAGACTGTCTCTAAAAAACTGGAGTGTCTTTTCTGGATGAGGAAGGTTTATCTTACCAGAAGTTTTTTTATATGGAGTGCTAAAATTAAATCGTGAATATACATAGACAAAAAACCTGCCGTGCCTAGTATCAAATTGATCTGTTTCTACAGGAAAAAAAAGAGGACAAATTACAACTTAAACTCAAGCACACCAATTCACATTTTCAAACACACACACGCCCTCATACTTTTAAACAGCAGCATCAGAAGCCAATCCATTCCTTGAATGCCAGCTTCAAATTGCAATACAACTACATAAATCTAATTTCCTGCAGAAGAAAGTACCTAAGATTTTTACATATGCAAGTCTTCAGGCTATTTCACTTTCACATCAGCCTAATGGAGATAAACAACGCATCGATGTTTTCTACTGGATGGGTTCTTCTTTTTTTTAGGGTTAAAAAAGGTCTGGTACCCGCTCTACAGCCTGGAAGCTACTGCTAAACAAAAGCTGCTCAGTCTGAATTTAAGCAGTCGCTCCTGCGCGGCGTATCACAGAAGCTATCTTATCACAGACAGCTGCAGGGTCAGTTCATTCTGAAGAGGTGAAACACCCAGGATTTTCCTCTTACTCATTTTAATCGCAAAATGAAACTTGCATCATTCTCGGGTTGTCCCAGGCACATGGGCGGTGGCCTCCGAGGACATCAGCGAGCTGTTCTTTAATAACTGCATTACACAGCAGCTACAAGCACGCAGCGTGTCTGTCTGAAAACTGCACAATGCAAAGACAGCCTAGACAAGCAGGCCAAACTCGGCTGCAAAATCCTCAGAGGCAAAAGATGCAGAGTCAGATTCTTGGCATGAACAGGTATCTATAGCTCAGTTGTGTTTTCTGATCCGCAGCATAAACTGCCATATAACGAAGGATAAACACAAGATTATCCCATCTCCGTCGACCTCTCTTGCCATGATTATCCAGCCCTGCTAAAACACAAACAGGCTCAAATTTCTCAGGAACACTGTGTTAAGGACATAAATATGATGTAAGCTTGTATGTAGATAAACCAGGATCCAGATCACGCACAGAAAAACCTTGATTCAATTGCACATAATTCCCCCACCTCGGAAGGTAACAGTTACTTCACCTTGTTCATAAACATGCGAATGAATGGCTGAAGTGATTTCTCATCTCTGTAAGACTTAAGACTGCGTACCATTCAGATGAAGATATGCCATTCAGTATGTACCTTTCACAGGTGAGCAGGGCATAGAGATCACATACAATTTATCAAATCCGGTATGCAGAAAGACTCAAGTGCAAACCAAGCAATCTAATTTTGACTATTCCATACCACGCAAACCACATCGCTGTAATCCTCTGATAGGAGAAGAGCTTAAGGAAATGATCAATTAATTGAAGAAAAACAAGATACTTCACCTCTCAGCAGTGAGGAGTCTACAGAATAATTACTGTTTTGAGAAACATTGAGAGATTTAACACTACAAGCTAAGCCAGCCTTAAACCAGAGAAGTCTACAGCAAGTTATCAGCAGATCTAAATGCGCGCATGTATGTGCAAGAACAGCAGAGCAAATTCACCTTAAAAATCTTACATACCCATCTAAGACCAGATGGATAAATTCATCATAGTATGTACTTCGTGAATGACACTGAAGTTTTACAAGGTCAAAATACTTAGGCTTGAAGCCTTATCATTAGAATAGGCAGCAACAACAGCCAGAAAAGCCTTAAATTAAGGGACAAACCCTCCATTTCCTTAGGTCTATTGATATAAAATATATTGTATTTAATTCTACAAGTTTCATAGCACAAAGCTAATCACTTTTCTGTAACAATTCTAGACATTCTCACTTCTTTCATTTACTTTAACATTCAAGACCATCCAAGCTTGGTATCAGTCATCTCCAAGCTGATACAAGTCCTGGTTTGTCTATAGACTCAACTGCACAAACGAACTTTCAGTACTAAGATCCCCACACCTCCAAAAAGTCCAGCAGCCTCTGTCAGTGGTGACAAGGTATTCCAAACTCCCCAGGACCTCATCAACACTATGCACAAGATATTTTCAAGTACTTGGATCAATTTTAAATTAGAAACAAAATATATACATTAGAAGCAATCACTACAGAAAATTATTAATTAGTTTTTAAACTCAAGCTACATCTATAGTCTGATGTGCCTTCTACACCGCAACCTTGGACTGTTCCCTTTCCAAGGACAAAACAAACATGCTAAAAAAGTAGGCAGAAAAATGATTTCTGCTTAACTAGTCCCAAAACAGGGCTGAGATGCATATTTTATATTAAAAAAAAAATAAATCAGTACTGTAAAGCAAAGCAACAAATCATACATTTTAAACGCAGTAACTCACCGTTAAGAATATTGTATTCCCATACCTTGGTCAAAGAAAGAGAGAGACATCAAGGCACTGGTGTTGAACTGGGCGGATTTAATAGTGTTTGAGAATTGACAGGGGAAGCATTTCATCTTCCGCAGTGCACTGATTCGCTTGTGTATTTTCATCTGTATTAACACCCTCGTTGCCAAATAAAATCAATGTTATCCTTTTCTTTTTAGATGGTAACTATAATCCCCATGATAGTTACACGTAGGGCTATTTTAGTCCTTCAGCGCTGCAACGGGCAAGAGAGCATCTCTAGAACGCGCTGCCTTCTCTCTGCCTCCTCCCTTTTGTGCATGCTATTTTTGCTGGAGTCTCTAGGTGGGAGTCTTGCAAACACAGAGGGCTGCTCTCACTGTCCAGAAGCTTGTAAATGATCCCTTCTGTATGCCAAGAGCGCTGGGGAGGAATATCTGAGGGAGAAGCAGATGTATAGGTGCTCTACTGACACCGACGGCTTTTGGGAACAGGATGCATTCTGCTGTTTACTGCTGCATTCATTTCAATGCCCTCGTCTTCAAGCACCAGTATCAGAGATAAATAGCCACCAAAACTTTATCTGAGAACCGTACCCCGCACAGGATACGGTTAGATAGCATTATCTGTTAACAGACTTCCACCAAGTCACCCATGCCTTGAGAGATCGGATCTGTCTCTCTCCAAGCATCTCGAGACATCTTTGACACCGAGATGAAGCGTGACATTTCAAGTGCTGAGATTTTAAAACACTACAGGGCAACATCAAACACACAAGACCAAGCCATCATTCTGACAAAAGGGAGGAACAGGATAGAAATGGATATCTACATTCCTGTAGAACACCTGCAATACCTGTACTAAGTTTCTTCCTCTTGCACAACTTGAGATAAACAGCTCAAGGGTTACCAGAGTTTTTAAAACTACTTCCTGGCACAGATGTATATGGTTGTTCTTTAGTTCCACTTGAATATCCCTTCACAGGCGCTTGTTAACACTGTAGAAACACTTCTGAGACTACTAAATACTTCCAAATAATGGTTTTCAGTGATCTAAAAGCAAAGGAGGGTTGGGGGGGGGGATCACCTACACACCCTGAAGCCCATTTACTGCCGTTGCACATATACAGCCCTGAGGGAAAACGTTTTGCAGCAGGTCAAGTGAAACGCTATAACCCAAACCAGAACCAGCAGAGTTGTATCCCTACCTCAAAACTACAGCCAAACCAAGCCAGTGATCTTAAAAATCCCACCGAACTGTAAAGAGTTCCGGCCCCGACCTGTCAGCACACGCCAACAGGGCAGAGGCTGCCGCCCCAGGAGCCCTCGAAACCTCCTGACAGTTCTCCCAGATACAGCAGCTACAATCTAGTTTCTTGCAACGGCTGTCAGGGTTGCTTTTTCTTCTGCACACAATCTTTATTTTCACCACCCGCTCTAGGCTTTTTATGTATTGTTTCCATGATACATCCTCACTTCAAGTGCTCCAATAGAAATCAAAACCACCACAAGGTGTGGACACTTGTCTTCACAAGATTCAAGTAAGCTGAGCTCTTCCCGTGTCAGACGTGGAGACAGGAACCTGAAGAACCAAAGGAATCAAAACAAGGCGTCTAGCGTTGACAGAGAGGGGGTTGGGAGCAAAGACATTTATCTCCAAGTTTCGGTAATGCTTCAAGTGACATGTTTGCAGTTCGCCAGGTGAAAGGGAGACATACCAGAGGGCCCAAGCAATTCTTAACCGGTGGCAGACACACGCTTCTGCTGATTAATCATCTTGCGAGAGAACAGCCACTCAACACAAACCTAACTTGTTTCCTAGGGGGCTTCTGAAGATAACAAAAACATAACTTCAGAATTTTTCGTCCATATTTATTACACCAACTTTTGCTATTTTGAGTAATTCACCTGTCATGTCAGGCAGGACACAGATGGTTTGAAAAACTGAGGCACCGGGCCAGTGCGCTTCCAAGAGATGACCAGTTCAAATGAAAGTGGGCGGATTACACTGTTCAAAGATAGATGAATAAAGGAATCGGACACATCTCAAAATGCCTTTTCTCCCTTTAAAAGAAAGCAATGTTTGCAATAAGAAAAACCTCAGCGACAGGTATTAAAAAACATTTTCACACTTCGGGGGCCGTCCAGGCTTTTCAGTGAATGCTGAACAAGAACCACGCATGCGCTAGCAGAAGCAAGGTTTCTGAAATAATAGAGAAAGGCTGTGCTAAAGTTTTACCGCTATCAACAAGTCTACAGAATAAGGGAATAAAACAGCTTTATCAATTCAAACAAGCAAAAGACGACTATAATCCAATGACTTAGTTCCAGAAGGCCCATTGTGACCCTGAAAAGCGATTCTGTATTAAATTTGTTTCCAATAATAGAATAAAAGGTATTTTATTAGTACAGAAGAGGCTATCTATTTTAATGTACCATGAACTTTATATAAACTCTGCTTATAAAACATGCTTGGTAGGCAAAACATGTCACCTACTCTACAGCAGCAAGTCAATCACGGCAGTGAACAAAGAGCGTCTTTATTTCAGCAGACCTAAAAGGTTTCTGTGCAAGTTTTTGGAATCACGTTGATCTGCTGCCTAAGCAGAGAGCAAGTAAATCAGTATGTTTACACAAGTGGAGCAATCTCCTGATGTTTCCAAGGACCGAACAAAGAATTGTAGTATTTAAAAAGCATTTTGGTACTTCTTCATTGTTTATACACCTTCCCAGTGGCTCAAAATGCCGTTTCTGGAATTTTCCAAAGGAGCAATTCAAACAAATCTCGTGCATAACGCGGAGCAGATTAGTTACAGGTTGGTGATTCTGTCCTAAGGACTAAAAAGACAATTCACTGACCAAATGCGGAGCCTACTTCCTCAGTTTGCCAGCCTTAAGTTAAAAGAAGCTATTTTGATCAAACTAAGCATCAATTCA